GTTGACTAAAGAAGAAACAAATGGAATTATGACAGAAGATTTAAATAAGAAATTAAGATTTTGAAACACAGCCCGTGAGAACAAACAGATTGAACTGCTTTACTGAGCTGAATGTTGTGTCCTATTTATGAAAGAGAGTTTGCTAATACAGGCAGTAGCCCACAGTAAAAACAGTGCTTCTGACTGCATTACTGTTCTCTAGCACTAATAATTCTGGGTTTTAGTAGTGACTAGAGCTATATATACAAAAACAGAGAAATGATTCTTTATGGTAATGATCCAGCCTCTTGTACCCTCCTTATGCACTGAAACATGAGAATTTCCAATATTTGGCCACTTCCTAGCAGCAGTGAGTATCATTTCTATACTTTTCAGTTGACTAGTCCATTTTGTGCAGGAAGAAAAGGCTTTTCTGTCTGTGACTGAAACTTCCATGCACACATTTTAATGTTTATATGTTGTTCTAGTCCTCACTAGAAACGGTGAGTAAATGGAAATTCCGAGGTATGTGAAGAGTTGGTGTACTGTACATACTTTAGCTGAACAGAAAGAGAGGAACTATGATTTTGCTTCAATGAGATCTGTAAGCATGTGTATAACACTAAAAAACTATTTCCTTTGATACCTTTAATTTCTAGTTGTGGCTCTCGTCCTACCCATTTTAGGAGCTTTGAGCGTATTTCCAAGTCTCCTTTTATGAGCTTTCTTTTAGTACTCTATGAATGTCACTTGGAGGAGGAGTAAAGATATTTCAAGAGCCTCTTGTATTTTTCTACTGTAACATTAAGCATATAAGATGCTCATAAATATGCAGTTGACTATCAAGTGCATAGACTCTGGAAATGTCAACTGCTTACACTCATCACTTTAAAAAGAGCTAGAATTTTGACTTGCTATTAATCACTATAACAATTCTGTTGACAGGAAGTATTTACCCATATTACATCAGCTAAAGAATACAGGGAAATCCAATAGTGCTGTGCAAGGTGAAGGAGGTAGGGGGAAATTCTGGGGGTTGTTCACTTTTGAAATACACTGCTTTACTGTCTCTCACTTAGGTTATTAGAAATATTGGCACTGAGTACTGAAAATAGGCTTGGACCTTCGGTGCTCTCAGTGTATGCTCTCAGGTTCTTGCTTATCTTCTAATGCTAGCTGTGTCATTACCAAGATTTCTCCTAGTTTTTTAAATACTCCACATTGTTGTGTAGCATGATGCAAGTACAATTGCAGGTATAGTTTTCTTTTTAAGAAAACATCTATTTAAACAATAAATGGGATCACTTATATATCTGTCATAACTCCCGGTATGGTACAGCTTTACTGGGAGAAACGTTGTTACATAGAAGAACATATTATTGTAATTCACAGAAACATGGAATGGTTTGGGTTGCAAGAGCCCTTAAAGATTATCTAGCTCCAAATGGCCCTGCCCTGGACACAGGCACCTTCCACTAGACCAGATTGCTCAGGACCCAATCCAGCCTGGCCTTGAACAATTTCAGGGATGAGGTGTCCACAGTACCTCTGGGAAACCTGTCCAAGTGTTCATCACTCTCATAGTAAAGAATTTCTTCCTAGCATCTAATGTAAATCTCTCCTCTTTCAATTTAAAACAATTAACCCTGTGGCCTATCACTATGTACCCTTGTAAGAAGTCATCTTCTTTTTTATAACCCCACTTTAAGTACTGGAAGGTCACAATGAGGTCTCTCCAGAGCCTTCTCTTTCCAGGCTGAACAACCCCAGCTCTCTCAGCCTGTCTTGGTAGGAGAGATGCTCCCGCCCTCTGATCATATTTGAGACCCTCCTCTGGACACACTCCAAAAGGTCCATCTCTTTCTTATGCTAAGGACTCCAGAGCTGATTGCAGCACTCCAGGTGTGGTGTCACGAGGGCAGAGTAGAGGGACAGAATCATCTTTTTTTCTTCTTCCTCTTTCATGGTGATCTTTACAAATATGCACAGTCTTTGGAAATGTTTTTTTGCTTTAATTTAAAATGCTTTTTCTCACAAGAAAGTTAAGAAAAATGTCAATAAAGAAAAAAACTATTTAGGTTTTATACAGAACATGAGTTCTGATGGTAGCTTTATACAAAGTAAAAGTTTTATTTCAGTGTTTTTTTAAATCACATAAAATCATGTTGCTTGATATTACAATATGAAAGCTTTAAGATACTTAATTTTCTACCATCATTTTGATTGATTTGGTCACTCTCATTTTTCATTGATGCATTTCTCAATATAAGTTGACAATAATCATGTCATGGGATACAAGAACTACTGCCCCAAACTAGAGGGAACATCTCTGTAAATCCTTTAACACATTGCCAAGAGGAAAGATTGCGTTGTGTCTGATCCTTTTGACCTAAAGACCCACAGTCTGAACAAGGATCATAAGACAAAACCAATTAGTCAAGAGTTTGGTTTAATGGAAGGTTACTATAACAGAAATTTGTCTTTTCATATGCATTTTATATGCAATGTTATGTTCCTCAGTGATTGAAATTTGAAGATGAAATAAAGATAAATTTATGTAATTTTGATAAATTTTGCTTCACTTAGAACAATACATAGTTGACATATGGAGCATTTTATTTCCCTAGGTGCTTATAGACATTTCTCGTCAGTGCCAAGATGTAAGAGACATAGAAGCCTTCCATAATACATATTTAAAACATCAGTCTGAGGCAGCTCTGTTTGTATCTTGATGCAGATTTTCCTGTCTCCACCCAATATTTGTGTAGCCTTTCTAGTGCTGACACAAGGTGGAATTGATCTTGCCATGTACAATCACTTCCAGCCCAGAAAAACTTGGTGACAGTCTTGCACTGAAATTTAAGCAGTTTTCTTCTTTTTTCCCTTCAGCATTGCAGTTTGTGTTTGTGAGCACATGTGAAAGAAACAGTAATGCCAAGGATGGGAGAGGGTGGGCCATTCCCTGCTCGGCTGGTGGATGCTGCAGCTGGATTTCTTCCAGGGCATGGAAGCTCCACACGCCCACAGGGAGTTGCTCCAGCTTTCCAGCTGCTCCCTGAAATTTCTGCTGCATTCTTACATCAATTAAGTGACCTCTTAAAATTAATGAGACATGTTTTTACAACCTTCTCTCAGACAAGGCAGTAGTAATTGCTGTATTTTATGTGATAGAGTGTTTAAATTGTCAGCGTGGTAAAAAAATCATACAAATCCAGTGTAAATACTTCAAGTTGCACAAAGTAATTACAAATCTTAAAAAAGCATCAGATATGCAGAGTTAGCTAATAAATGACAAATGAATAATTCATTCAACATAAAAGAGAAGGGAAGAGAGGTATTAACATTTTATCCACAGTTACTCTTTGACAAGCTGTTACTGAACTACTAGATTTTTAGTTTTATTATGTTTATTCAAAAACTTGCAGCATTTTGTAGTATGACTACAATTGACTTATAGTGATTTTGAACAACGAATGTGAATGTGCCTTTGTGTATGGGTGTCTCAGATTAAAGATATATATAGAGAGAAACATTTTTTGGACTATTTGTTTTCAATCATTCACACTGATAGTATTTGGAGGAAGTTAGTAAACTAACACATACATACCCTAAATAAACATATTTACTGAATAACACATTTTTTCTTTACTTAAGTTTCCGCAATCTTTCTGCCCTGTACAAGCTCATCACTTGTGAAATATCCAGAGTTTATATTTCTGAGAAAGGCCTAGCAAGGTTGAAAAGATCTTGGTGTAGTTCCTCAAATAATATTTCTTTTTTTGGAGGTCAGTCATTTCAGTTCACAATAAGTAATGAACCTTTAGTATTAGCTGTAATATAAGATGTCTGTGAGAATGTATGCTAAACAAACTTGAATATTTTTTGTCAGTAATCCAAAATTGCTAACCCATTCAAAACTCATGCATCAGGCCTCAAATAAGAAAAAAAAAAGAGGCAAAAAAAGTTCCAATTATATAAGATTACTTTATAATGATTAATTGTAAGTTCTTTGTATCTGCCTTCTGTTTTTTGACCTTTAGAGTCAATGCTTTTCTTTGTTACCCAGGGTAATATATTATAATATTCTTACACTGCAATGTGATCTCAGGGAACCGATGTTTTAAGAAAAATACCAATTATAATGAGTCTTGCAGCAAAGCCTCTGGAATACATTTAGTGCACCTTAGTTTTCAAAGTATTTTCCCTTTAATTTTTGTTCCTCATTTTTTTATTTTTTTTTTAATATTGTGTTTGATACCATGTTTCCCTTAGGTGGGCATTCATTGGGAAGAACACTCATGTTCATTTTGAGTTGTCTTAAATATACACTTTTAAAATCACCAGTGTTAAAAAAAAAAAAAATCTACTAGGCAGGTCGATTCTTCCAAAAATTCTCTTTGGATTAATGGATTTTCATATTATTTTAAGATGGAAGATCTGGTTGGCATCTTCATGACATAGGGATTTCCCCTTTATTCTTTCTACAGAAATAAGATGTCAGCCTTCACCTGGCTGAAGAATAACTGTCTTTTTCTTTTTCTCTCCCTTTGGCATCTAATAGAATACATGAGGTGATTAGAGACACAAAAAGAGTTCATCAGGACTAGAAATGATGAGGTTTTTTTTATGGCAGATATATGGGAGGAGAAAAGAGAAATGTCACTAGTAGGGAGGAACTGAGAAAAGATACATCATTTATTTGATCCTTTTTGTTCAAGAAAGAAAGGCAAGTACTTCTGAGGTCAGCTTGGAGATGGCAGAAGGCACCATGTTCTTACTGAAGAAGCTCTTCTAATGGAAAAAAAAACAAAACAGAAAGGGGCATGAGTATCATCATCTTCAACCTAGGTTAACTTTAAATAAAATTAAGAAGAAACGTCCTTTATGACCTCTACTTGGGTTTTGGAAATGAAGGTGTGACCTTTGCTTTCATTTTTGAAACCTTAGGAAAAAAATTCTGTTTCTGTTTTGTTTGGTTTTCACTACTTAAAGTGTTGAATTTGTTTCAATATTTCTTTCAGGAGAAAAGCATGAACATCATGCAGAGCTTGACTGCCTTGAGATCAAATGGAGCAGTATTGGGATAATCCAAATTTGCCAGCTGTTTTGCTGATTATTTCTGGGAGCAATTAAAAAAATCTTGAGGTATGGTGTTGCCAAGGAAAATATTGTGCACTGTATTTTCAGAATCAGAACTTGGGCAGTCATAGCACCTATAGTAAATATGAAAGCCAATACATTAATGCATAGCCCTCCTACTGATGTAACCTAATGTCCTTTTTATGTCTGAAGAACTGAAAGCCAGTATTTCAAGGTCTGCAGAGCAGGAACCATCTGTTTCCATCTACCCAGCCTCTGGATGTTACTGAGATTCTAAATACTGATATAATAAGGAAATATTTGAAATAAATCAAGAACCCAGTTAATATTTCTGTTTTATTCCAAAATGGCAAATTTGCACAGTTTAATACACTCTCAAAGATTTTCCTGCTGAGGTGATAAGAGAGTGTCTACAGACATTTCAGTGATAGGAGCTCTACAAAAGTTTTCTAAGCACACTGTAGAAAAAACTGCAGTCACTTTAGGCATTAATTTGGACAAGAGCAAGAAATCTAATCTATGCACTTTGTGTCCATAATATTGAAAAATATTATATATTATTTGATATTATAAAATCAAAATATTGTTTGCATATCTTTAAAGGCCTTGTAAAGTTTTCAGACATATATTTCAGTTTTAATATACTTAGATGATATAGGAACCCAGCAGTCAGAGATTACCTGGGAACACAGCCAACAGCACACTTTCAGATGGATTGACAGGTTCAAAAACCTCAGGCAAAACCAGACTTCATTTAACAGCATCATCTCTCTCAAGAGCGATATTTGTTGCTCAAGTCTAGTTTGTATCTCTCATCAGTTCTATCTCACTACATCACTGCTTTGTTTTATCTTCTGAATGGGCTTTGTGATCTGATTCTTGTTGAAGCAAGTTTAATATCTGTTAAAATCTCCTGTATTAATCTCTGTTAAAATCTCCTGGCAGAGATGGATTAAAAAAAAAAAAACCACAAAACTTCCATACCCTTTACCACTGATAACTGAGCAATGATTTTGAATCCTGTGCAGGAATAACTATCTTTCAGTGTCATCAGTAAATCCTCCAAGATGCTATGGGTGCTATTTAGACCAAATCTGTGCCGTGTGACTACAGAATGGAGTAAATAAGCACTTAGGGATGCAAGTTGAATTAATGACAGCCTGCGTATCCCAGAATGTGATAAATTATAGTTTGCTGCTGGCAGCAGGAACTATTCAAACAAATATTTCTGCACTATGACAATTTCTTAAGGCTTTTATAGAATTCATGTATAATAGGAGAACTGCCTACAGGGAAGATTATTAGGAAACTTAGGAAAAGATTTTCATTTTGTGATTTGAGCAATGTCTGTAATTATCAACGTAACCTATCATTTACTAAGTGGTTAGTTGCACATATGAGCCCTTTATCTTGTACTGTAATTACAGTATATAGAAACAATGTACTTGTTACGGGTGACTGCACATAAGTGGGTGGTTAAATGTCATTAAAGCTGTTTTGGAATATATCTATTTATGAATAAATATTTTCAATTTTCCTTTTAGCAAACATTGCTGAATGACCCTTAAAAAGAGATGCCAAATAGGAAACATCTCTATAACAGCAACATTAGTTTAAAGCATGTCTTGCTAAGCACATTAGAAGTCCTGCTGATAAAAACATTTGAAACTTAACCATAGATGAACCTTATTTTTACCACAACTTTTTGAATCATGTCTCTTTCAGGCCCCCTTTGTGCTCACTGCATTTTTTTCTTGCCTATTGTACTCATATTTTCTTTTATTTTGTTTGAATTCTGAGAGGTGCTTAGTTTTGTTTGCACAAATTGCTTATTGTCAGGAAAGCACTAGAAGTATTGTTCTAACATGAATGTGGACAATCCTAGGACTTTAAATGCATAATTATTAACTCCTTATTGTGATTTAGTAAGAATAACAATATTATCCTTTAAAGCAGTAGGAAGGTAGGAAATAATAAACAAAGCTTTGTTTGATTGGGACCTTGAATTACCAGAAAATTATGCAAGCAGGCTATATCAAAAAAAAAAGAAGGCATTTAATTGTGGCCACTCTTGACCTTCAAATGGTGTTGCAGTGTCACTTCAGAGCTTTGATTAAAATTGCTGGTATGGATCTGCCAACGTGTCAGGCTTTGCAAACAAATGAGACAAACCCACTGCTGCTTTAAAATGTGATAATTAATAGAAGATACCATTGATCAGAGTAACTTCTCTAAATTAATGTACTTGATATAATTATCTTTTACCCACATCTGTAATATTAAGCTGGTTTATATATGTATTTTGTTATGTTAAAGACACACTAGCATTTTCTATTATTTTAGTATAACTGTAGTCCTTTATAGAGATAGAGGATTTCAATGGAAAGTCATGGTCTGTTCCTATTTCTTCTTCTAGATGTCCTCTCTATGTGATATGGGAAAGGGGAAAGCAGCAAACAATCAGTGCTTCCCTTGCCCTTACCAACTTTATGCCTGGATTTATCAGCTGAGAGGGCAGACTGGCTCTGTGCTGGACAGCTGCAACCAGGGTATAAATATTTCAAGTATTTCTTGTTGTCTCAGTGATGTTAAGTGGCCAGAGTAAACTGATGAGTCTAGTCAGTACTTTTTTTCAAGGAGCTAGTCATGAGTAGGTTTCTCTTTCTTAAATGAAGATTTGTTTCCATGATCCAGTGTAACATTCCAAGTTTGCTGTAGACCATGTCTGATACCCTTTCCCACAGTGATTAATGAAATGCTCCAACAGTGATTAATGGTACATGGAGAAATGGATTATTGGTGTGAGTAAAATGGCTGAATCCAGCTTTCTGTTTCCTGAGTTATCTGCACAAGGAAATAAAATTCAATAAGTCAGTAAATGTAGTTTATTAGGAACATAGATTAAAAAAAAAAGCCCATAAAAAAATCCCACAAAACCCCCAAAGTTTTACCATGTGGCTTTTTTTTTCTGCAGAAAGTATCTTTATTTAACTTGACTATTTCTAATACTTAATTTTGTTCCAGCTTAGCCAGCCATTCACAAGGAGAGTCAGCTCCAGTTTTTACTGACAGACTGTGAAGCACAAGTAAGGCTCACTCTCTTATCCAGCTATCAGTGTCTATCTGCAAATGTACAGATGTGTGCACTTCTGTGTACATATATCTGTGCATGTGTATATCTGCATGCAAAAAAATGTTGAAAATAGATATAAGTATATAAAGGCAAAAATAACAGTTGGCTCTAAAATGAACAGCTGTTCTCGCTTTCCTTGCATGTCAGACTGCAGTGTTCAGAGATAATTACACAAGGAGCACATCAAGAACTTCGTAAACATTTAGTGTACATAAATGTCGCTTTTACTCAAGCATTACTTGCTTTGTGTTTCACAGGAATAATCTGTGACACAAAATACCACTTGCTGGGTTTTTTATTTTTATTTTTTTAATGTTCATACATTTCCTGAAAGAACAATCTGGAAGAGTTCCACCATTGCCACAGCAAAATTAGCTGTAACTTGGGCTCTTAGGCAGGCTGGTCTACCCAGCTTATGTTCCTCTTAGCTAGTTGTGCTGTTAACTTTCTCCAGGAAAATTGACTTACACATTTTTAATGTCATTCATGAATAATCAGAAGCAATAAAAGGTGCATACCATACCTAGTGGTTAGATATGCTCTGATGTTATTGGCAGGATACTTTAAGCTGTGTCTGTAGTAAAAAAAAAAAGGTATTGTGGGAGAGGGTAATATATGGTGGGTGAGAGGTTGGACATGCCCTGGCCATGTGCACTGGGAGCCAAGAAACCCCCCATGTCCTGGGCTGCATCCAAAGCAGTGTGGGCAGCAGGGGAGGGAGGGGATTCTGCCCCTCTACTCTGCTCTGGTGAGACCCCACCTGCAGTGCTGCCTCCAGCTCTGGGGTCCCCAGCACAGGAAGGACATGGACCTGTTGGAGCGAGGTCCAGAGGAGGCCACCAAGATGATTAGAGGGATGGGACACTTCTGCTATGAGGAAAGGCTGAAAGAATTGGGATTTTTTATCCTGGAGAAGACTTGGAGTATCCTAATTGTGTCTTTCCAGTACCTAAAGGGAGCGTAGAAGAGACAGGAGCATGTAATGATGAGACAAGGGGGAATGGCTTTGTACTGAAAGAGAGTAGATTTAAATTGGATATTAGGAAGAAATTCTTCCCTGGGAGGGTGGTGATGCCCTGGCACAGGTTGCCCAGAGAAGCTGTGGCTACCCCATCCCTGGAAGTGTTCAAGGCCAGGTTGGATGGAGCTCTGAGCAACCTGGTCTAGCGGAAAGTGTCTCTGCCCATGGCAGGGGGGTTAGAACAGGATGATCTTTAAGGTCCCTTCTAATTCAGGCCATTCTATGATTCCATGATTCTATGATATGCCCATATAGTTCTAGTTTGGCTTGGCTTCTGAAAACAGTACAGTTCCTTTCACAAGCTGATAAGCTCTTCTTCCCTGGCAGACGATGAATTGTGTGTGCAGCACCTCATGGGCACAGATGTGACCTCCTGCAGCAACTACTCTGAAGAATTTTGTAAGGCAAAAGCTATGTAGTGAAACAGATGGTAAATCATTATTTATGGTAGGTAACAATAATACTATATATTAAAAATTTGAAGAGTAATTCAGTATTTGTACATTGCCAGCAGTGACCAAACAAGGAAAACCTCACCCAAGCCCAGAATTTGCAAACAAGTTCTAGTGTACTTATCTTACACATTTTAGTGGTCTCATATTGGGAGTTTAAGTTTTTTTAATTTAATTTTGTTGAACATATCCTTAAGTCAGACTACATTACAGTACGTTAAAAAACCTTCTCAAAATACAAACATATTATCTGCAGTACACTATTTTTAAAGACAGTAAATTAAAAGTTAGGGGGAAAAAAGGTTATAACCATATTAAATTATCCAGCATGATTCAGATATTTATTGAACTTGATTTTTTTTTGTCATAAATGAGATTTATGAGAGATGACTGTACTTGTAGTTCATGCTGCTATGCAGAGTGGAAGCATCTGTTCTGTGCTGAAAACTGTCACACCAAGACATGGGGGGGTTAAGCAAGGATGAATTTGGACTGTTATGCTGAAACTGTGTTTATCTAACAGCACTATGCTTGTCTTTGAGAGTAGCTAAAAAATGGGCAAAGAAGATGCCAGCTCAATTCTTTGCTGTTACCAAAATGCAGTTTGCCATGAGATAGGACTCAACTGTGAAGCGATATCCATTTTATGAGAAAGTTATCAGAAGATGAAGGCACTCTAGATCAATTTTAGCATTTCAATTAGTGAAGGAAAAAAGATCCAAAGAAGAATTAATATTTTTTTCTCCTGCTTTGCCATTGTGCAGATGAAAAGCCTTTTGTATACTTACTATTTTTCGAATAGTCTTCCTGTAGCTATTCAGATGTCCACTGTGAAACTGGTAGTCATCCTGTTCCAGATTATTTTCTCAGTATTAGGCAATCAGCAGATCAAGAAAATTCTTCTACAAAGTGGAAAAGCATTGTTGCAGGCTTTTTACAGGATATTTTACAGGATGTTTCTCAGTGGGGTGGATATCTTAGTCTTACTTAGAGAATTACAGAATCACAGAATCATTCATGTTGGAAAAGACCCTCCAAGATCATCGAGTCTGGCCTGTGTCAGCTCAACCATGGCACTGAGTGCCACATCTAGTCATTTCTTGAACACTTCCAGGGATGGGGACTCCGCCACCTCTCTGGGCAGTCTCTTCCAAAATTAAGCTGTTTTGCATAAAAATGAGTTATTTACTGAGGCACGGACAAGAATCACCAACACCCCTACAAGTTATCTTGGTGACTTTTTGTCTTTAAATACTCAGTATTTAAATACTTGAAAACTGCAAAAAAAAAGGAGACTGAAACTGTCCCTTGCTCTGACATCAGAGTATGCTCGTTTGGAAGGCAATGTTCTGTGTAAACCATAGATTTCAGCCTTCTCAAACAGATGACAGAGATGAAACTTGGATCTCCCAGGCACTTGGTAAATTGATCCAATTTATGTGCTATTGCAGAAAAAGAGATGGAGAGAGGGGATTACAAGTGGAATGTCCTTGTTTCGCTATTTTGAGAAATGAGCTTTTCATTTTTTTATTTTGCCTTTATGTTAAGTATTTGAAAATGAAAATTTTTACCCCAGATGAAAAGGAGAATAATTTTAATGAGCAATAGAAAAGGAACTTTTAATCTCTTTTTATTTTTTAATTGAAAAATCAACCAAGTATACTCAGCTCATTACTATCTCTCTTTTAAAAAATCCTTGAGTAGCTTATTCCTCATTCTTAAAATAAAATCAAGGATTCTTTATGAGTTTATTAAAATTCCTGAAATACTTAAAACAGGACAGTGGATTTTGAAAGTTTTGACCTTTTCTCTTTCAGCTTTAATATTTTGCAGTTTGGCCTGCTGGCCATTATCTTTCTTCCCACAGTTTAGTGAGACAGTAAACTGTGTGGAAGGGAAAGACAGCAACCAACATTCAGAATATTGAAAAGGTTGAGGTAATAAAGCACCTGTAACAGATTGTAAGAGATATTAAAAATCTGATACCTAATTTCAGCAACTGTGGTTTCAAAGGACAGAAGACAATCGTACAGTACAGACTTAGTCTCCTGAAAAATATTACAGTGACAATAGATGTGGTAGAGACTTGAGTGATTCTTATGGCAATTTCAAAATGGTAATTTTGTGGTTTTAAGAGGGGGTTTAGTGCTATGCAAAGGAAACACAGGCAAGCAATGCAAAACTCAATTCACTAAAATATATGTGGAGTAAGATAAGACTGCTATAGCTTTCTCAATACATAAGGCTATATTTTAGTCTTTCCTTACTTTCCAGAAAGAAATAAGATGAAATAAGTATTTCACATCACCAGGGTAAATGAAGTTTTGCCTTTATTTTTCCAAAGTATGTGAGCTCTGAATAAATTCTTTTCTGGAAACGAGTCTCACTTGGACATTCTCTGGACTCTAGTAAAGCTCACGCTCATTATTCAGCACCATGCCCAGGGAGCCCTCCTTGCCCTACCTAGCTTTCCTCTTTCACAACCTTTGTAGAACATAACAAAACTTTATCTTTCAACCACAGTGAAATCAGCTGGCAGGTTGCAAATGTTATGGTGTTCATAGGCACAGAAAGGTTTTACATGTATCCGCTGAGGAGGAGACTCAGCATAAAGACAATGATGAAAACTTCAGGGAGAAGAGAAACAGAAAGGCCATAATTAGGGGAAATAATAGGGAGGATAAAGAGTGTTTATCAAGATAATGAGTGTAATAGTGTTTGAAGTGCTGGAAAAAAAGAAAAGTTCTTGAATTCAATAATATTTTGTGAGCATGCACATTATTGATATTTGTGAGTGAGTTCACACTTTTCTGTGGATGCTTACACTTTATATATTTATTTATATATGTATACTTGTTTGTGAATTTATTTATTTATTTATGGTCTTTTATTTCTCCTATGAGGAAAGGCTGAGAGAACTGGTACTGTTCAGCCTGGAGAAGAGAAGGCTCTGGAGTGACCTAATTGCAGCCTTCCAGTACCTGAAGGGAACCCACAAGAAAGAAGGAGAGAGACTATCTACAAGGGCCTGGAGGGACAGGACAAGGGGGAATGAATGGCTTTAAAGTGAAGGAGAGTATGTTTAGATTACAGAAATCAGTAAAGAAGAAATAATTCTTTACTGAGGGTGGGAGGCTGTGGCACAGGTTGCCTGGAGAAGCTGTGGATGCCCCATCCCTGGAGACGTTCAAGGCCAGGTTGGATGGGGCTCTGAGCAATATGGTCTAGTGAAAAGTGTCCCTGCCCATGGTGGGGGGTTTGGAACAAGATGGTCTTTAAGGTCCCTTCCAGTCCAGGCCATTCTGTGATACTATGATTGATTCTATGATCTTTTCCTATGTTTGTTTTTTCTTTTATGGAAAGATACCATTTGGATGGAGGATACCCTGAAAAAAATACAAAAAAGGGACAACATGCAAAGATAATTTGAAAAGATATGAGGAAGAGACCTCAATACTAACATTATAACTCTCCCAGTAAGACCTGGGGACACTGGTGACTCATTGTGGCACCCCCAGATTCTCATCCTGCCACCCAGAGTGTCTTGGGGAGGGTAGACATAACATCAGAGGAAAAGAGTAAATTGTTCTAAGTTTTCTTGCACAATAATTTTGAAGTTATCACTAATTATGTGGTTTTGTTGTCCTTTGAGCTATTACAATTTAATGATAATTATTAGTCTAGTTAAATTATATGTACAGTTACACTTCTAAATAGATCACAAAGAAATCCTTGGCTCCCTGTCTATCATTAATTTCCTTTTTTTCTCAAAAAGTTACCGAAAGGAACTGTATGAAAATGAGGACTTGAAACTACAATCCATGACTCAGGAAAGGCTGTCTTTGCCATTTTGCCTCTGTGTATTTCTGCACAAAGTTATTATCAGTATTTCTCTAGTATACTTTTGGATTAGGAATTTGAAAAGGATTCTCCATCATCAAAGGTGAGCAGAGAATTGACTTGCATACTTTCTTGCTATGTATTTTTTCCTCATCACAATTTTTATATAATTATTTCCTTAAAATATAAACTTAAAAAGTATAGATTCGTGAATGGCTTAATATATGGGACTTTCTCCTCATACCCAGGTATCTGTCTGTAAGTTATTTTGGTTCTATTTTAGTCCATTTCTCCAGTTTCTAAGGAATACCAGAGCAGTGGATTTTGTGTACTTAAGGATGGGTTCCATCATTCCATGAGAAGTACCAAGGAGGTACTTCTTGTTAACAGCCTCATTCTAGGAGGGTTTTTTCTGGAGAAGGGGCTGCAGTCGGGGTGGACACTTTCCCATCTGCCTCTTGGGTCTGATGGCAGCAGTAAGAGCAAAAATTTCTATTTGATCTCTGTGTTACCTTGCTCTGATGGGCTTTAGCATTGTAATTTCCTCTGGGATTGCTTTCATCTGCAGATCCACCAGCTTTTTCACTTGTGCGACTTGTCTATTCTGACAGGTTTTTTAGCCCCAAGCTGTTCTTTCTCAGACTGTACCTTTCACTAACTTCTGAGCAGTTTCTTCTTTTCCCTGAGTTAAGCTGGCATCTTACTGATGAGAACCTTCCTGATCAGCAGTTTTCATGAACTCAAACTTTCCTGTTGAGCAGCAAATATCATTGAGATTACCAATTTAGACCTCTTAATTCAGAGCTTGTCCAGACATCTTTCCCTTCCTATTTATTTCTCTTTATTTTTTTTTCTTGTTTGTTTAGGTTTGGGTTTGTTGGTTGGTTTTTGTTGGTGTTTTGTTATTTTGTTTTTGTTTTTGTTTTTTTGTTGTTGTTGTTTGTTTTATTTTTGGTTTGGGGTTTTTTGGTTGGTTGGTTTTTTTGGAGGGCCGTGATTTTTTTGGGAGGGAGGTGGTGGGTTTCTTTTTTTAATTTTTAGTTTATAGGAGATTTCACTTACATGCTGATGTACTGCCAAAAGCAGAGA